CCTTAGTAGGCCTCACGGCCTTCGTGATCTGAGTCAGGGTACCTAGAGTTAGGGTTCTGGCACAATAAGCAAATAGGAAAGATAGAAGAGGCCTTTATGGTGGGCGCAGAGAAGACCACTGGTAAAGGACAGAGGCGTGGAGCTTCCGAGGGCCCGGCTGAGGGAACAGAGGCTATATGGGGCCAGGATGGAGGTGGAGCTCAGGGTGCAGTTGGCCTGACATGACAATGACTGGGCCGTGATTGGGCAAGAGGCAGGAACAAGGAAACAGGTACCATGAAAAGTAGGACGGTGTCATTTGACCAGGAAGGAGGAAGGCGGAGCACAGCACGTGGCCTCCAGAGGCCTGGGCCACAGTGGCTTGCTGTCACGATGACTTAGCGCTTTTTATCAAGGCAGAGGAAACCCAGCAATTTTTAATTGTGATTTAAAACGTAGGAATGGGGGCTGGCGAGATAGCTCAGTGGTCTAAAGCGCCTGGTAGGCAAGCGTAGGAAAGCATGCAGGGACCTCGCTTCGATCCCCAGCGCCACATGCCATGCCACCCCGCCCCCAGGGTGGGCTGAGCGGACCATAAAAAATAAATAAATAAATACATAAATAAATAAAAAACGTGACAGGAGGATCTTTAAAAAAATAAATAAAAACAAAATGTAGGAATGGGGCCAGGCAGACACATATGTACAAGACGGGTACCATCACCTGACACCACTTGAAAACCTTGAATTATGTTATCCAAACAAGCAAGAGCGTGAGGAGCTTGGGCTAGTAAACTCGGCCTCAGGTCTTTTTTTTTTTTCTTTTTGCAGAACTGGGGATCTAACTCAGGCCCTTGTGTTTGCCAGGCAAGCGCTTATTCCACTGAGCCATCTCCCCGGCCCCCTTCCTCAGGTCTTTTAAGAGCAAAAAGTTCAAAGCTTTCCTCACCTCACTGTACCTGGGCTTTTTTGTGGGCAGGAAAGGTCGGGGAAGCACAGTGTCGGAGGCATTATCCTCTGAACTGGGTGGGGAGAGCAAAGCTGAGTGTGTGAATAAACTGGAAAAGGGGCCTGGGAGACGGCTCAGTAGAGTAAGTGCTTCCCTGGCAAGCGCAAGGGCCTGAGTTCATTCCCCGGTTCCGCAAATAAATAAATAAATAGAAAAAGCTTTGTATTTCCTTACGAATATCTTGAAAAAATGAATTTGATTATCTGCACTTTTTAAACAAGCTTCCTTTCTCTCCAGCAGCCCATTTGGTGGCATGTTACGTTGGTGGTGCTCTCATTCTCCCGTTACGGCTCCACCCGAGGCCACTGCTCTTTCAGTTACCGTATTCACAGGCATTTTGTTAGCACAAGTAGAGCGTCTTGTACGGTAACCTGTCACTCTCGCAAGGACAGGGCCACCTTCGCCAGCTTTTATGTGGCTATAGTTCGCAGGTGGATTTTCTTCTGTTGGGTTTCAGCTACAGGAAAGCACCCAACTATTCTATCCCAAACTCTGAGATCAAGTTCACCAACTTTGGGGAAAGAAGTTGAGAATGAAGCTACCTCACGGAGTAATTTAAGAACTTGCTTAGACGGCACCTTCACGTTTGCGGCACCTAACAATCTTATAATCAATAAACTAAATCTCATCTGCAGGTGGTGAGCTTGCCCCGATGTTACCCTTGATGAGAACGCTCCTGTTTGCTACTTGCCTCTGAGCACTACAATTAGGAAAACGCTCCGTGTACCTCTGCGTTGGTCACACAACGTCCCGTGGATGGCCAGCACCCGATGCTGGTCGTTGTGCCGAGAAGGTCGTGTGTTCCAGCCACGTTGAGCACCAAGTAGAGAGACTTCTTCTGGTCCTCGCCTCCGTCCAGGAAGTTTATATTTGTAATCCCATGGAGAAGTTATTGGAATCCCATCCAGTTTAACTCCAATTTACCACTTCCAGTGAAGCCCATGGCGAGAATAAAGACACTAACGTATATTTATAGTTACGGGGAGCCGAGGAGTCCTTAATCCAGCCGTGGAACGGCTATCCAGAGCGCAGGCCTTGATCCAGGGCCGGAACAGGTCTGCTCAGTCAGGAGGGAGGAGTGCCTTGCGGCTGAGCGACTGAGCACGGCCGGCAGTAGGAGAGGACCTTGGGCTGGGCTAGCAGAAGGCTGGAACTTACCTCCGCAACGTGCAGAGAGAGGGATACGCACAGTGACCTGCATTACACAACTGAGAGCGCCTAACGTTTTGTTGTTTTTGCAGAACTGGGGATTGAACTCAAGCCCTTGCCAGGCGGCGCTTATTCCACAGAGCCAGCTCCCCGCCTCAGTACCTAATGTTGTCAGGGACGTGCTGCAGCGCTGGTGTGCAGTCTGTCAAGCCCCAGTCATCATAGCTGTCTCCAGGCTCTCGATCCCAGCTGACAGTACAGAGCACTGGATCACTGTCCCGTCTCAACAGCAGCAGGTGGGGGATCCAGGGAAACACAACTGCCGCCTTCAAAGACTACCATCAGCATCCCAGCTGGACCAATATGCACTGCTTAGAGCCAACTGAAGGGATAAGGAAACGTCCCAGCCAGCTCAGCACACAGGAATCCATGGAAACAGGGTCAGGCTCAGCCAACGTGGAGACGATTGCTCTGCTTTCCGGGAGAGTCGCCCAGGTGGCCCTCCACAGTGATGAGGAAGGGGCACGGGTCAGTGTGGGGACAGGAGTCCTGGGCCAGGGCCGGCCTGCGCTCTCCACATCCTCCCCGACGCCGACAGGACGATGGACACACTCGGAAGCCTTTGCAGGGAGGGGATTTGGGTGTTCTTGAGGTCACAAGGCCTGGGCTGGAGAAGTCGGGTGTGGCTCAGTCACCCCAAGGCAGCTGTCTCACGCTGCAGGACAGAGGAGTCATAAATTCAGGGCCAGGGCTCTATGTGCACCACTCTGAAGAACCCACTGCTCACAAGAAAGAGAGGCTGTCTGCATGCAGGAGGGGAACTAGCGATGGAGGCCTGGGGTAGAGCGGTGGGCAGGGAGAAGCCAAAGGCAGAGACGGGTTCCGTGTGCACCGACTCCCCAGGAGGAGCAGGAGCGTCGTGTACAGCAGACGTGAGCTAAGAAACACTGACAAAGGAGCCACTGCTCACGCAGGGTCAGGTGCAGATAGAGACTGTGCTGTGCCCCTTGGCCTCACCCCACACTTCAGGCCCGCTGGGGTCTCACCTTCCAGAGTCATGAGAGATGCATCAGAGCCACGGGCACTGTCACAGCCTGGGTGGGAAAGATGACAGGACACCATCAGAGGCCACAGCAGACCTGTTTGGGGGAGTTAAAAGGGGGGTTCCCCATGGCTTCTGACTCCATGACCCCAAGGCTCTCAGGAACCAGGGCCCCCTACTGACTTGTAACCTCAGCATAGATCCCTCCCTTCAGCCCTGTGGGGAGCAAATGCCTTGTGAGAAGCCAGGGAGGAGGTCAGGCCCTGAAGCCTGGAAGACCTGCCCAGGCCTGGCGCCCAGGGAAGTTTCCAGATCTGGGCTGCAGACCCAGGGAAGGATCAGGAGGCACGAGGAAAGGACACATTCAGGACCTGGGCAAACTGCCCTCCTAAAGCTCTGTCCTCAGCAGGACCTTCCCCTGTGCTCCTGACTGCTGGGAATCAGGACACCAGCACCACAGCCCTCTGGGTGACAAATCTGTCCTTCATTGTCCCTGTCTCACAACAGGGTGAGTGTCAGCACTGCAGGCTGGGCAAATACCTATGAGGATGGAGGGTCCCACAGTGTGGGGGCTACACTTCCTGGGGCTGAAACAGGAAGATGCAGACCCCACCCCTACCTGCTTTCTTCTTCTTCTTCCACATCACGAAAGCAACCACAGATCCAATGACCACAACTACAAGGAAAATCACAGCGGCCACAACCCCCAGGATGGGGATGGCTGTCTGAGGAGGTGAGTCTGGGAAGGGAAGGGAAGGGAAGGGAAGG